ATTATAAGTTGTCAGAATTTCTGACCCCTGTTTATCACTTGACATTGAACTTGGAGTTCAACATAAGCTGAGAGTTCAATTTTAATACTGTATTTTCAAGTTACACCTATTGTAAATGGGACAAGAAAGTTCGTGTGATGCTCAATAATTAATGAGCTATGACCAATTAACAAATGGTAAACACCACAGCGTACACTATTGAGTTATGGATGCACGCAAGAGGTTGCTAAGCACGAAAGAATCGTAAGAGTCGCTCGAGCCGAGAGCGACTCTAGCTTCTTGAGTGCTTAGCAAACCTCCAACGTGCATCCATAACTCAATAGTGTACGCTGTGGTGTTTAGCATTTGTTTTATAACATAACATTGATACTTTGTGGCTAAAGATTTCCCTTTTATTTAACAAATCATACGCGACCAGAAAAAACAAGCGCGCGCGGAAAAATAGTCTTTGCATTTGCTCACGTCAGCAGCGTACACCCATGGGCAAATGGGGGACGCTAAATTGACCAATCAGAGCGTGCGATTTACTTTGGTTATGTTATAAAACGTTTTGATTACCTTCATGTAGGTCACATCATTGTTCAATTATCGTTCGCTGGCAAAAGATGCTCTCAGGAAAACAATCAGCTCAGTGCCGCTATCTTCATTTTACTTCCTTTTTTTTTTTGTCATATTAGATAGCTGTTAATTAAAAGCTCCAGACGTTCTTCGGCGCGTTACTGATGTCATTTAGTTTCACTTAAGTTAAGACATAAAATACTTGATCAAAAATTGATGAAACATTGAATAAGTCATGCTTGACCTAACGATGACGATGAAAAGTGCACAGTAAAAAAAAAAAATAAAAAAAAAAACAGCAGAAAACGAAGGCCGAAAAAAGAATCCAAGCTTCGAAGGACTGAGGTTCAGCAGATAATTCGTACTTCCTAAATACCAGTTGTGGTACAGCCTTTTATAGTTCGTCAGTTTAATGTGCGTGCGCTATATCTTTCTCTTTTATTCAGTCAAACCTGTATAGAGAAAACCTCATTCTCTACTAAAGCGATCATTTGTCAAAGTGCTGATCCCATCAGTTTGCGTGAATTACGCTATATCCAGTGGTCACAATTGTCCTTTTGAAGGAAGGATAAATTGAAATTGAAAAAGAAACTAGCCAGAGAACGTGTCAATTTAAATTAACGGTGTTAATCGTTACCTCGAATGATATATATCACTCCCAAATTCTGCTAGGCGTGGAATAAGCATTCTTGTTCAAGTTCGTTTACGCTGAGGTGATTTGGAGTCATGCAGGTCATACAATTTTCCATAAACTGATCTTAACGAGAGGTTAAAGCACGAATGTGGAGTTGTTTCGACCGACATGGAAACTAAACTCAACTTCCAAGAGACGGTTGGGAAGGAATTACTAAGTTTTATAAAGCACGAATGAACTCGAATATTTCGGGGATGGAACTGTTCACACTAGGTTGGAGTGAATTGAAAATGGTGCTTTCTGAAAACGGATCAAAACGGAACAAAAGTTTCACCCCTCACTAGAAAACGGATACAGAACATTTTTTTTGCGGTACTAGGGAATGGTAGGTCTAAACGCAGAAACAAAGTTGCATTTTTAAATTATTTATTGAGAACAAGGCATGAATTGTTTTAAGACTCTCAAACCAGGAGATAAAGCTATACTCGATAACTTCACCATTTACCAAAGATGTAGACCATCTGAAGGTCGTCTAGTTCTAGACATTATACTAAGCAAGTGTCATTTTGCTAACTCATCGATCATTAGTTCATCCTGGGAAAGGGGTAAAATATCCAACAATGTTTGGCTAGCATTAAAAAGAAGCGGACCATCTTAATGCAGAGTAATGATTGAGGTAACGAGAGCTACGAACTCTTTCTCCTCTCGCAAGTAGTCGAGATCAATGCCTTCTGTGCGTCTGGTAAGGACGTCAAGTCTTTTATCAATTTTTTCTAATCGTTCCTCTGTTCACTTAAGGAGACTTTTTGAATTTAAACAGAATGGCTCTGCATCAGAGCGACACATGTTCACAAAAGTTGCATCATCACAAAATAACCTAAACTCTGGCTGTCTTTTCTCTTCGTGAAATAACCCCATGAAACGCTCCCCAAAGAAGTGCGCCATTTTAAGTTCTTCTGCACTTTCCTCTGCATTTTCTCGGGCGTCAGCGTATGATTCGTTTAAAACCGAAACCAGCATATTCATAAGAACTATCGTCATCATTACCATGAATGACAGAACAAAAGTTGGGCCGATGAACGGTTTATCTTCGCGAAGTTGAGCGATTGGGACTGCTTTTCCTAACAGGAATTCTAATTGTGAAATAACTGCTTGTAAATAACTGGAGTAGTGAAAAACAACGCCGCCAAAAAGCTGCATTCCCGATATGACAAAGGCGTTGAAGACTATAACGAAGAAAATCAAGTAGGACAGTTGGTACCCAACAGACTGACGGAAAGATGAAAATAAATAAATGACATAAGGATTAAAACGAATCAGATTTAAAAGCTTCACTGTGACCATGAAAATGGCGAGGGCAATAGAGGCATTCTCCCAGTTAGCCCAACTTAAAGCAGAGTGGAAATGAATAATTTCGTAGGGATTATTTTGAATAGCTTTGATGCTGTTCAAGATTTTCTTGGATCTTATCATGTAGCACGTGACTGACGTAATAGAAGAAATAACTGTCAAGAAGTCAACCATACTCCAGACAGACTTGAAAAATGCAAACCTCTGTCGGTAGAGGTGAATCAACAACTTAATGAAGTAGAACAACACCATTGCCAAGAAAAGAAACTGGCAAATGAGATAGAACATAAGAGCCCCAGACTCCGTAGAATATAACTCGAGTGTATCCACCTTCAATGTAGTGTAGGCTGCACCAGACGCAATCATTTCGTAGATGAATGTAGCAATGCTAATCAGGTTAGTATTAATATTGAACGCCGCAAATTCCAGAACTACAACACGAGTATTACGATCAAGCCATCCAAGACCCAGGGTCTCCCCCAGGACGCTATGCGCTGTTTGTGCATCATAACCCAGGGCAGCTACGTAACCACCTCCTCCATAAGAATTGTATACGGCTTTGATAGGATCAATGCCGAGGTTTTCAGCTGTCTGGTAACGCCATGGTTTCGGGCAGATTTGAAGAGCTTCTGGCCATGATGTATTGTCTGGAAGTGACCTCCATCCGGGCAGGCTTAACTCGGTTGTATCCTCCATCCTTGGAGAATAATCGTAGAAGCAGTTTGGTATAACTTCAGGAATTGATTCACAGGGATCTCGCAAGAAAAAAAAGAACAGATTACCTCGAAAAAGAGAGGACAAGGGACAGAGAGGAACTAGTAAAAATCTCTTTTTTCCTAAAATCTCATTTACTATTCTATTCTTTGTCTTGATCCCTCTTCCGTTTCGATTGCGATTTCAAATCCTAGAATCCTTGTGACCCAAATGTCATTTTACCAGTATGACGAAAAAGGAAAGTCACAGTTTTCACTTCATCTCATCAGGCCCCTCAAAAGAATTTGCAACAGATCACGATATATTAAAGTTCCCACAGCAACTAGGAGGCCAATCAGAAATGGTTTGATGTTACTATGGCTTAAAGATTTTAATGAATGTAACCGTTCATTAATGGTTACATTGATTAAAATCTTTAAACCAGAGTTGTGCCAAACCATATCGGATTATGTCGATATATTAAAAAAAATAATTTTTAACATACTTGCATGAATTCTCAACTGTCGCATCCAAGGCATGCCAATTAAAATTGACATCCTATTGGCGATGTACACATCATTTTTGTCTTCGATGTCATTGTACCAGGATTGGGTATAAATGTTGGGCAAAAACTCCTGTCTCATCCATCCCCACAGTTTCTTTGAGTCAGAGACCTAAATCACAGACAGAACACTTGCGGACTAGTGTGACTTGAAAAGTTGCTAAAGAAGAACTTTCAATTTGTATCTGAGAGATTGGTTTGAATCGGAGGAATGCCTGTTACTCCAGTCCATAACGGATTTTTAAACATTTCACTTAATACATGTAACACTCAAATGTAGCAAGCGCACTTAAGTTTGAGTGCTGTCACCAGTGATTGGCCTATACCTTGATTCAGCCGGTGTTAATACCCGTAGTAGATACTCTGCCCGGCTGTAACATAGTCTTTTCAGTTTCATATACAGAACTCCACTTCGATGAAAAAGATAACCACTTTAAAAGGAAATACGCATTTTTTACGGATTGGGAGTATTTAATAGAAGATGGTTAAGTTAAAGCATGGTGATTCAAATGAAACATATTGCTATTCAGTGAATGACATAGTACAGGCATACAACTTCAATATATCATCATTACGAGGTGGCGGAGCGTTTTGGGAGTGGGAAGGGCTTATCTTTCAGGCGCGTATCCCCACTCAAATTTTCCAAAATGTTCTTTGCGTTGTTCGTTGACACAAGCAAACGTCTTTGCAATCTTTGAAGTTTCAAGTTTGTCAATAATCCACTTATGACCTACTTTAATTTTTTCCAGCACAGTCTAAAATCTTTCAGCTTAACATTCGATTGACTTCCCACAGGCAATTAAATCATGTCTAATTTCATAGATGTGCTGACTAGTTTAATAGAGAATTGCAGCAGTTGATAAGCTTCTCGAATACAGGCCGGTTCTGTTAAAAAAAAAGGTTGTACTACATTTTATTTCGCTATGCGCGATGCTAATATAGGGATTTGTGAAAAGATCACGAGATTGAATACTTGCCAATTTTCAAGCTGCGTTTACTTAGAAATATTTACGGCACAAAAACGTCGGCGGGGGGGGGGGGGGGGCTGGGTCCCCCCAAAGTTTTCTTTGAAGGGGCTACAGCCCACTGCCCCCTGCTCCATCACCTCTGTCATTGCACAAGAGCATCAAACATTCGTATCCTCGCAGTATACAGGAAGTTTGTAGTCATGGAACTAGTTTAACAGCGTAGGACGAGTCTTCTACTTTTTAGTGGTAAAGAATCCGAAGTACTGAATGGAAAGGTCGAAGGTTTGACTCCTATTGGGAGCAATCGGAGTTCTTTTCTTCAAGTATGCCGTGTCATTCACTGAATTACATTATCCTTCACTAATTTAAAAAAGTATTTCTTACCAGGTGGAACTTTGGGAAAGAATTCCTCATTTCGGTCGTCATTAAAAAACGGTTCGCATTCTTGTTTCCGTAACAGACGATAGAGAGCAGAAACACAAAGATTAAGTGAAGGACAATTTCTCTCGCCATGTTGGCCAGTTGAGCCTCTTTCCTGCTGCGTTCTCGCATCTTTTCCATGAGATTCTGTTTAAAGCGTCGTTTGGGGTTTTCACTCAGGAAATCTATTTCATCCTTTAGTGAATCGTTCTCTTTCACCTCTTCCTCTTTATCTTCTTCGTTTTTGTTTCTACTCAATAGAAAGGAAACGACAAGAACTGCTAACATGACCTTTGTTGGTTGGGTAACAAAAACATCTTGTCCATTGGAGATAAGAATGGACGCCAGCCACTGCTCAGCAACCTCTTTTCCCCACATTAAACTGTAGAATAACGTAAATGCTGCTGCAGTCATGGTGGTCATAAAGCAGAGAAACCAAGCGATGTATATACAGAAACGAGGCAGCATACAGCCTTCACCTTTTATTTCATCGACGAGCTGTTGTGCTTCGAAGGATTCTTCATATTTGTCTGCTTTTTCCGTTTTGGTTCTGCTAGACTTAAACAGAAATACGATTAAGATGTTCACTGGTGCGACTATGATACCGCTCTGTACTCCAATGACTATCTGTCTTGCAGAGAACTTGAATGGTCCGATCTGTATCGCACCTTCTGATTCTCCGCCAATGTTGTAAAACATAGCATTAGCAATCATGGCACTGAAGAGAACTGAAAGACAACACGACGCTCTTTGCACGCGAGTGAATGTACTCCCGCGTGCTTTTCCAAACACCGACACCCACAAATGACTGTCAGCTAGTTTTCTTCCAAAGCGCGATCTCACCTCTGCTGAGAAGGAAGTGATACTTTTGCTTTCAACCCTAACTTCTATCTGCCCATCGTCCTTTTCTAGAGCAAGCCATCTATTCACGGGGAACACCCACTGGTCCTTCGTTTGCCTATCTCTTATCACCACTGTCTCTACAAACCAAGATGGACTCTCTCCCGAATTATCGTGTTCCAAAGTTATTTCGGTCAAATTTCCGAACGATTCATCGCTAACTAGGATAAACCCATTTACACTTCCGCGACCAAAATTAGAACTCGTACTCGTATCTCCGTTTTTCCTCAAGGGAATTTGATAGTGGTCGTTATTTTCCCCTTTTATACTGATTGTAACGTTTGCAGTCGTTGATGAGGCCTTCCAGACGCCAGTACTGATAACCATGTCGTAATAGTAAGTTCCTTCATCAACAATATTTACATATTGCGGGGAGCAAATCTGCAAGTATATTCAAAGTGATGATAGAAATATGATTAGTTGGAATAGGTAAGAAGTAAGATCTTGAGCTCGGTCGTTGAATGATTGATTGTTGTTCGTTTAATCACGAGCGTGGAAGAAAAAAAATGATACTCCAAATACCCATTGCCCATGAGGAAGAGAACCCAGGACCTTCAGACTGATCCTCTACCACCGAGCCACTGAGACTCTATAGTGAGTAAGGCCATTATAAGGTCCTTATGCGACTCGCTTCCGGCATACTGTTAAAATCAGCGTCACGTAAATATAAATATCTTCATTTGTTCTATTAGCCAGAAAAGAGTTTACCATCTTTCTAGCTTGTTCTATTTACTGACATTTTTTCGGTGTTCTGGTGCGACCTTAAACCCTCGGTAATTGATTTCTTAGCAATTATATTGGTAGCCAACATTCAGAGGCTCAGGCCTTAGGACTGAACCTGCCTGAAGCACAGCTTCATTCCAACCCTTGGTGAACCCTAGGTGATTCTTAGCTAAAATACTGTTTATGAAGATCGTACTCGATCCCCAATCGGAAAAGAGAACAAAACTTAATGTTTCTAACGGGGATAACTACATCACGGCGGGTACGATCTTTACTGATCTGGACACCCCCAACAACCCCAACTTGTTCTCCTGGAAATGAATTACCATTAAGGACTTTTCGAGGTACATGTACGTTTATTCCAGGGATTACAGATGGCATGAGTCTCAAAACAAATAAAGAAGGATTCCCTGTGGTTATAAGGTGGACTCGGTCTGAGTTTTGCCTCTAATGTTGCATTCAAAGAGTGGTTATTGAACAATACAAAACGTGTGCTTACAGGACTACGGTAGCGAAAACAATTCTTACGTTGCTTTTATCTTTTCTGTCAGCTCTCCTAGCAAACACCAACACGATGAAGTAGATGAGAAACACACATGCAATTGTCACAAGCACTGAAATGTTTCCAGACTCACTGAGGCGCGAAAACTCTGTGAAAACTTTGTCAAAATCAATAGGATTGGGCGATTGGATAAAGTTTCCACCAAAAGAGGTCAAATGATTGCAGAGGCATTTAAGATGCGTGGTGTTGGAACCTGAGTCGACCTGCCATAGAAAGATTTGTTATCAGGATATCTGCGTGGAGTTCATGTCTTAGCTTTTGCCGGGTAATCTCATCAAAACTTTTTAAGTCTTGAGATTATCATCAACATTTCACAAGTTTCAGAAGATACAAAGCAGCTTTTACGAGCCTGGTGCGAAAAAAAAAAACAAAAACAAAAACAAAAAAACAAATGAAATAAAAACTGCGTCGTCTGTGAGGATCCTAATCAAAGACCTCTCAAATTGGAGGTCGTATGCTCAGGAGAACTCTTTCGTGAGCCACGCCATATGCCACATTCTTACATGGTCAATAAAGTCAAACGTTTATATTGCTCTTGACTATCTATCTCCTTGTTGTTTTTTAAATACATATTTTAAGGAAGACATCAAGAAGATAGCTCGCTTGGGTAAGCGTGGATAGCATTTCCCCCAAAGTATAATGCATTTTGAAGCTGAATGTCATCAAACAAACACCTTGTTACCAAAACGTCCAATCAGATGAAAGATATCCCAAGAAAACAATGAGAAGTCAAGGTAAAACTAGCAAACTGTCTGAAGCGCGGGAAAAACCTAGGTGAACTTGTCATGTGTAGTTTTAGTCTTACATCTGATTGGCAGAGAGAGTTCCGTAGTTTTTTTTTAAGATCAAATACAGTGCGGAGTAAAGCGAAACCATTGCAGTCGCGGATTGCTTTTGACAGCCTTTTTACTGAAAACATGAATTAGACTATCTTGTTACTCTGGATAGCCTATAGCTAATTGCTCTGCGACGTCAATGTCTATTTAAAATACTGGACAGGTTGCCGTTGAATTGAAATGATTTCTTATCAACGTACCTTACAACCATCAGAAGTCCACTTTTCCTTGTCTTCAGACCAATACAAACAGCTTGTCTGAGTTACAGTGAAAGTGTAGTTGACATCAGAATATGGGTCGTACTGAGGTACAATCGTCTGAGTGACCCCTTTAGGAGGCGGGTCTTTAACACCAACACAGGATCGTCTTTGGCGACCTTGACCAAAGCACGACCGCCTCTCTCTTGAATGTTTACTTGCATTTTTTGATGTTTCCAAAAATAAACCAATATAAATGAAGGTTGGTTTCGTTGGAAGTACAGTGATGGTTTTCTCGTTGAGAATGCAGGAAGATTCGTCTGGTTTAACCTTGGTCCTGTTTCCGCATATCGAAATGAACTTAACAGTGAAGTTAAGATCAGAGCTCTCCATCGAAGGCCTCGATCCAAATTTCACAAGCACTGTAAGCGATCTGTCCACTCCTGCTACACCTAACTTGATGAAAACGGGTACATCTGCTAGTTCTGCGTGGTAGCTACGAACAGTCAATTTGTTGGGCTTTAGAAAATGATGTTCGATCACTGCTGTGTTGTTGTTGGTCTTTGAGGGTGGGCTGAAAATTGGGATGACGATTTCGATGTAGTTATCCAGGTTTGAAACATTAAGCTTTGTTCCGTTTTCCGATTGGAGGTCGAGACTTATTACGGTAGATTGGACTTTCGTGCTGCTGTTGTCCCAGCTGAATGGATTAAAATCAGCAGATTTCATCTGTAAATAAAATGTGGAAAGAACAGTTGGTGGCCCTGCCTAACGCCGTTTTATCTCAAATCCGTTTTTGTTTTTCCATTCTTAAGTTAACATGTCACTCTTAGCAATGACATTGTGGTGCGTTTTCGTTAAACGCCTTTCCCAATCTTGTGGACACAAAGTTTTTGGACATTGGTTTCCATGGCTTTTGGACGCGCTATATAGCATGAAAATTCATAATAACGAGATGTTCATAAGCAAAATACATGTGTGAAACATTTTCATAACTAAAACGACGAGAAGTATGACACAATATTTTTGATGAACAACGGATACGTTCCCACCAATTTGGGGCTATAGGATGGAAAATAATGCTGAGATATGACCTTTGACTCAATGTGATATGTAACGGGGACACGGGCGATGCTTTACTTTTACAATCTATACCGCTATTTGAAGATGCTAGTCTTCATTTGCACCACTTTTCGTCTATTCAACAATCAAATAGATTTCTTGGTGGCGAGCATTTGTTCAGTGATCACATATGACTTCAAAATGTGGTATGTAAAAAAAAGTGGCACGCATGGCACAACAGAGTGTGTGCACTGATGTCTCCTGCGATCTATTGCTGAAAAGACCTACGGCAAAATTATATGATAAAGAAACAAAACTTGTCGATGGTAACGTCATGGATACGTCAGTTCTCCCATACATTACAAGTAAGAACCAATCGAATTCCGTGCATTCTAGAGCTCATCAAATGAAACGTAGTCGTACAGTTTTAAAGTACAATACCTTTGCATTGATATTCCCATTGCCCATATTTCCTAGGTTTCCTGGTAGTTTGAATTTTGTTGGCCCGTATTCCATACCTAGACCCTTAATGTCTTTCGCGGACACCTTCTTTAGAGATGATGTCAAGCCGGGTGATTCAAGTACAAGATTTTCTGAGGGAACCAAGCGGACAAAGAATGCATCGTTCATAGCGTCCAACTTTTGAGCAGCCCTTTTCACACTCTCCTGTAGATTGATGCAAATGAAGTTTCCTACTAAATATCATTCCCCGAAAATTATTATCGTATAAGTCTTATTTGACAGAGACCCTTTAACCATAGTTTTTCCCCCATTTACCACTACAACCATAGTGTAGTCCGAGTTTGTCTCGGCGTAAGCAGCAAAAAGCAGCAAAATACCTAGAGCGCGGGAAAATGTGAGTCAATTTGCGACTGATTGGTCAAAACGATGGCGCGAATTTTCTAGACTAATCACCAAGCGTAGTGACGCAAAACCAGTCCAACGTCGAATAACTTAGGACAGTGAGTTCAAATTTTCCCTTTTCATACCTTCTCGTTGTGAATCATGCTGCTTTCCTGAGAATCTCCGCTTGCTTCAGTTGACCTCGAATGTGATAGAAGAACATCCTTGAGACATGCCGTCATACTGGTCGCTGATTCCTCTAACTCTGCAGAAAACGGCTCCTCTAAATCTCCAAGGGTAGATCTTAGTAATTCTGTTGTCGTGTCTGTCAATTTCATTGTTTTATTCTAAGGAAAGAAATTTTATCCAAAATATTAATGATCGTTAATATGTCGCCTTCTTTGGGGGAAGTGGGGTCAAGGAGTTAGGTTGTGTCACAATAACATTTACCCAAGGCTCTGAAGTGTCCTAATTACCCCCCACCCCTCCTCTCATTGGTAGTCAACTTTTCCCTCTATATTCTGTTAGCGACGACTGCCTCCCCCACTCCGTTCCCCTTGAAAACCACATGACCACCCCCTACCACTGATTGCTACCCTTACAATTCAAGTGTTGCAAGAGAGCCTTGACTTATTAAAGCTATTAAAAATTCATTTTAAGAGATCAAAGCGAATGAAATAAATTTAAGTATTTTACCGCAGTGTTTCCGCAGCTATCACAATGCTTGGCCTCCTGGCCTCCTCCTGCCATTTTGACCACACTCATAATCGTTCGAGACATTTGAAGGTCCTCCGGTGTAATGGAAGTAAACTTTTCCACTAATGTGCTGGAAATCTGTTCGCATAGAAAAAGAAAGAGATTGGACTGAAAATACCAGCATGTGATACTGAAATGGCGTGGATGTTGTACAAAGAATACAAAATTTTTTGTCAAGGTCAGTGTTAACCACGCTGCATAGAACAGTGGGTGGATGAAAGAGCCAATCGCGTACCAGGAGAAGTGTTTCAATTCTGCGGAGCTAAGCTGTAAGTAGTAGTGACAGAAAATGTAAAAAGTTTCCGATTGGTATGTAAGAGCGTGAGTTTCTATGGCGCAATTAAGTCCTTTGTTGTATCGAGTATACAGCTGTTTCGAGAATTGTCATCGGAAAAAAAGACAAAAAATTCACGCGATAATCTCAAAAGTAGTCTGGGTATCCGCTAATCGAGATATTTTAATAAGTCAAAGAAAAATAATAAAATCATCAAACCCGCTATGCCTCCTCCTCACAATTACGTTTTCTCAGGTTTCTCTGCAACCCTGAGGTCAAGGAACGATGATGTTTGGCGTTGTCACGTGCACTTTTACACTCTTCTTCCGATAATCTTTCTCAAAACAGCTTTATAGGTTTGAGCTCACGATCTTTCAAGTTTTATGTTATGTTTTTCGTGTAGTTTAAGCTTTGTTTTACTGAGGTCGTTGCGCTTTTATTTGTTTGGGGAATATGATCCCATTTTTCCCACTGGGTCTTTCAGTTTTCCTCTCAGGTGATTACGTAATTATTTTGAAGCCTGAGTGGTGAGCTGGTGATTACAGCATTTGTTTGCTGTAGTTTTTTCGTTTGTCACACGGTATTAAACACTTGGGCTCCCAGTTCGAGCCTTACACCCACTCTTGTGTATAAATTGTGAATTTGAATGGAAAACACCTTTTTTCAATCGCAGTGGCTTACTAAAACCTTGTCAGCTTGTGAGGGCTAGCAACAAATACGAAAAGTTACAAATGTTTTACTGTCAATATACTTACCAGTGATTTAGTATCTTGGCTTAGTGTTTGTACGCAATCGGTTTTCTCGTTGGCTGACTTAAGGACAGTTATAGCAAGCTGGGAAGCCTTGCTGATTTCACCTATTTTTAGAAATCCATCCAGGTCATTGTCTTTTCCAATTATGAAACTTTCTAATTTGCTGGAAGCCTCTTCTACCGTTGAGTAGCAAGTATCATCAGGCATCACCTAATGAAAAGGAAAAGAAAGAACTCATCAAGAATGATGGTATTTGGTCTTATAATAATAATAATAATAATAATAATAATAATAATGATAAAAACTTTATTTAAAGAGGGTTAATACTCAATAGCCAAAGGCTAATAAACTTTTGGCCCTCGGTCAATAAAGTTATTAATACAAATAAAATATAGATATAAATAGATAAAAAAAGTTAAATCCTGAAATGGTCTAATCGTTGCTGCGCTGCGAAGATCGTTGTAAATAAATGAGTTTTTAGGAACTTAACGAAGTCTGATTTCTGATATTTAGAGGCACATAAGTCACATTATATCGAGGTGAGATAAAGAAAAAATTCTGAGTCTACTTTTGTGGATTTAAACCTCAGCACTGTAACGCCCTACCACTGAGCAACAGACTCTATGGTGATTATAAGGTTCATGTGTAACCTGTGTTCCACACTTTAGGATCAGGAAAATTTTTGTTCCTTTTGTCATATCTCGGGCGTGGGACAGAGAAAAAACTGTGAGACCCCATAAGGAACCCAACCTCAGAAAGAGGCAATACATGATTGCGATGCATATTGGACAAAGTTATCCCCTCTGAATTTGCCCCTTCTCCCAGCAGCTTTCTTGATTGGACAATGAGATGCTCTTAGGTAATCTCATTCCCAGACCTTCCCCTACGAAGCGGTTGTACATTTCAGTTAGAGTTACACGATGGGATCTGGGAACGAGATTAGCTCTTAGGCACACCCATAGCCTTGTCGAGTGCCCTCTTTACAAGTGCAGAAGAATGTCCTAACCTTTATGGTTAACTCCAATGAAGGATCAAGACAGATTTTCTCCTTACAATATCAAAACAATACCAAACAGACAAGTGATGAGAATAAAGAAAAAGATCAATGAGGGGATTTATTGTTGTGTCAATTCCGGATCCTCTTGACTTACATCATAAGAATTGTATGGCAAAGAGTAAGAAGAATTACTAATGATATCTTGGGAGTGAAAGAGTTTAGGGGGCGTTTGCTTTTCAGAAAAAGATTGATTCAATCAAAGGCAAAGAGTGACCTACGCTCTGGTATGATAGAAAAACTTATCTTTAAAAAGAGCCAAAGGAAGCTACAAATTTGTATCGCTACCTCCACGGACAACTTCTCTACTACAGCCACTCCAACAGCATTCTTGATAATGACAGTGATTGTTAATTTGTAATCGTTCTCTGGTGACCCAGATGGTAATATTGTCGTTACCGACTTTGAAGAAATGCCGTAAGAAATTGGATCGTCCCCAACGCGGAATTCGTAGGTTAGCGGTGTGCTCTTGTCTTGCCAACCAAAACATTCAAATAAGAACTCGGTTTTCATAGACACACCCTTTGCGGCTGATGAACTGCAGTACCCACTGTGCGGCTGTCCAGCGGTCTCAAATTCGAGCAGTGCAAACCCTTCTGTTCCTTTAGGCGATCGCACAAATAATGCCAAGTTGTATGTGGAATTCGACTGCAAAGAATCCTTTTTAATGATCATATTGGTAGCATTTACTGCAGTTGATGTCATGTTAGACAAGTTAGCAAGCTGCTCCCATTGATTGGAATCTAAATTCATTCTATAAAGAAGCCATTCGTACTCTGAACCATTGCAAGGTGAATTTAGACATTCTGATGTCACTCGAAGCTTGTTGGAAGCCGACACTATTGCACCCCAGTCGACAAAACACCTTAAACGAAACAGGACGCAATAGGGACCGGTTATCATTTATCACCTGAGGAGCCTAGAGGATTTTTTTGGGAGGTTTCCCCCACCCTCCACCCCATAGCGGAAAAATAGTGACCAGTTCCCTTTTTTTATATTTTAGTGTTATCTAGCAATACATGGAACATGTACAACCATACCAAATACTACAGGTACTTTAGTGTCGAACAGATATGAGATCAAAATTAAGAACATTTTCGATGGGGAGATACTGTTTGGATAAACCACTGAAATTCAGGAAGATTATTTTAGCCAGCTGGCAGAATTAGAATAAGGTAGAACTTTGGGATTTACTCAGGAATAATGAAGTGGCGAAAGAATAAATAGCTAACACAGGAAGACCTGTGTCAAGTAGAAGTCCGCATCATTTGGTTTGTAGCTCAGCATCTTCATATCAACACCTGGCTTTGGTACGTTGCACATCCTACTGCAGCATAAACTAAACATGATTTTAAAACTTTGGTAGTGTTCCTGAACTGTCCGCTTAATACCAACCTCATTCCCAGGGCCTTTTCCCTTAGGAAAAGCATTAAGGGAAAAGCCCTGGGAACGAGGTTGGCTTAAGACGTCCATCATGATCAATTCGAAGCCCCAACAACACAAGTAAAATCCCTGGGCATTTGAGCTTTTTAAGGTTGGCTCCTTCAAATTCCTGCACCCCCCACCCTCACCTGCCTGGGGCCAAAACTGCGTTTAAATGCGCCACCCAATATTGAACGATTCTTCGTGGGATAAACGAAGTAACGAATGTTGTAAAAATTAAGCAAAGTCACTAAATAGGTTTTGCTCCTACTGTTGGGTTTTTCGCTTGTAAACATAACTCTACGATGCAAAAGTTGTCTTGCTAAGCCAGTCACTCACCCAAGCAGACTTTACCTTTAAACTCTTCCATTGAGACACATGTAGTACGCTGAAAAGACTTGACACTTCCGGTGTAAATGCCCCACCCCACAGACAGGGTTCAAATTCCCCATCTCCCCGGGGACGAACGACGGTAAAGGAGGGGAGGGGGGAAGGTTTAAAGCTTTTTATTGATTTACGCATGATATATTTGTTGGGTCTCAAAAAAGCTCATTCCATGCTTGGTGTTTAAATACGACTTTAGGGGTGTCTGCTGGGTACAGTTTCGTTTTACGTTTATTTCTTTTCTTACAGGTTTCGTTTTAGAGAACAGCCAAAAATAAAATCAAGTGATGACCCATGAAGGAAACCCCATGCAAAAATGGCCTAGCCTATGGGGGAAGACAAATCAGGACCTTGGCCGCTGCCGCTTAATACAGGTCTAAATGTCCAAATATTGGGACTTACTGACTTACCTTAGACTAACTTGAGGTACCTCGCCAGCAGTTATCTCAAAGGACATTTCTGCAAAGTCACTTCTGTCATCTTTAGACACAGTCAACCTGAGGACGCAGATTTGACTACTATTTGCAAGTACTTTAGGATCAATTCTTACTGTTGTTAAGTTACTTTCCCCGACAAAAGAACCGAAGCAATCATTGCTCGAGGAAAAGTTCTTTATTGGGTAATGACATGACCAGGTGAAGTTAACCCCAGTTTGGTTTCCGGGTCCAATGTCTGCGTCGTAACTAAGTGAACCGTCCACTGTAACAGTTTCGTTCGATCCCCAGCGAACCCTGCTACCTCCGTCGATGATAGCTCGTACAGGACCCGTAACGACCTCTATAAAGCCATAGTCGAAAGCATTGAGAGTCTGTGGGGCGGCTGGATCGCCAATTGTGATGGAAGCATTGAATTGGACTTGATAGATACCAGCAAGAATGGATCGCCTTTTTATGGTCCATTGTGTAGTTCCTTGACTTACTAATGTACCCACTGGTGTCTCAGAATCTTCCAGCTCCTTTTCGCTGACTAAGCGCCATTCCATGATGCTTTCCAATATAGATACTTCTTCTGGTAGCCCTGCAATGTTTGCCTGATGGACACTTTTTTGAGCGCGCTTGATAACAGTTGCCTTGTACTTGTCCTTGG